ATTGGCCTGATCAAGGATGCTGGACCTATGGAAATATCAGAGTTTCTGTGGAGGACTGTATAGTTCTTGTAGATTACACCATTCGAAAGTTTTGTATTCATCCGGTATTTCATTTTCTCTTATTATTCCTATAAAATATAAATAATCTATTGCTCACATTCTTTTTAGAATAAGGAATATTTGGAATTATATGTTTTTGTTCAAGGATTAAAAACTCAAGTTATTTAACTTTTACTTATATTTTCTTGATACTATTTTAGAATTCATGCTGAGATTTTATTTGAAATTCTCTGCATACTTTGAGCCTAATGTTCTTCTAGTGCCTTTTTTTGGAGTCCCTTCTGGGAGTTCATGATTTCCAAACAAATGTAATTGATCATAGATTGCTATACTGAGTTAATACATTCTATAACATTCAAATTATGTTGACATCATAAGGAATCCCATAGAAATGACAATATAAATTATGCCTTCTTTAATAATAATGTTTTTAGAATGTTATAAACAATAAAATGAGAGGAATAGAATCAGATGAAATAGAATTTTAAACTATGGGCAGGTACTTTTACCTGCTCTGGAACTGTATTATGGGAAGTGTTTTTTTTTATAGCTTTAATAGAACAAATTTGCAGAAATATTATTGAATGTGATATACAGGGAGCCCTTGGTGGTACACTGGTTAAAATGCAGTATTGCAAGCAAACTCTGCCCATAGTTTGAAGTTTGATTCTGACAGGGCTCAAGATTAACTCAGCCTTCCATCCTTCTGAGGTGAGTAAAATGAAGGCCCAGATTGTTGGAGAGCAATATGCAAATAATGCTTACATTGTAAGCTGTCCAAAGAGTGTTGCAAAGCACTATGGGACAGTATATAAGCCTAAATATTATTGGTATATTGCTATTGTTATACTGCATTTATCATATGTTTTCCTGTGGATATCTGGTTTGCCGCTGTGGGGACTTAGCTATATTAGTTTGACTACTGCGTCTAATTCAGTATCATGATTGTTCTGACAGTATATTAAAATACAAAAAATTCAGATAATTTTTTTTAAACTCGGCGTATAATATTGCTTCCTGACAAATTTAACCCAGAGAATATTCCAGGTTGGAATGTCATTGTGGAAAGATAAATCTGTGGTTACAATTTACAAATACTTTTGGTGCATGATTGCTTTTATATCTTCTTTAATTGTTCTCTTTAATGTGCATCGTGAAGAGTAAGGAAAAAGTCAAGGAACAAGTAACTAAACTATTGGTTGACTTCATTCGAAAATATACTTGATTGTATTCATATTTTGTTTCTGGACCTTCAGCAGGTTTCTGATGGCTGTAAAGCTCCGAGACTTGTCACTCAGCTTCATTTCACCAGCTGGCCTGATTTTGGAGTGCCTTTTACCCCTATTGGAATGCTAAAATTTCTAAAGAAAGTCAAATCATTGAATCCTGCACATGCTGGACCAATTGTGGTTCATTGTAGGTATGTATCTATGTGGAACTGAAGATGTTTATCCTTATCTGTGTCAGGATGTGGGATTAATAGGCCAGACTAATCCAAAGGATGGTCCATGGAACAAACATTGGAAGGTGTGTAAAAGACAAACAGGAACTACCTACTTTTCCATTCACAGAAATCTGGCAGTTGCAATTGAACTCAACTTCAAGACAGTGAGCTTAGATAGGATATAAAAATACAGGAAAAATAACACTTGGAAATTATAGACTCCTGTAGACTAATTTTAGTAACTTATTCAACATTCTTCTGCATAGTAATGTGTAGAAAGAACATTTCAGGGAAGCTGAGTTTCAAAATTCAGATATAAAAACATGTCATTAATAAACTTTCAATTGTTCACTTAAAAAAAATGAGCAGTGGCAGAATTAGAGGAAGGGAGGAAGTTGCAATGATATCATAAGCAAAAACAAGTAGCTGAGGTAATACATAGGAAAAGTCTCTGCCTAGCACAGGATGCCATGCCTTTTTCTTTTCAAGGAAGGCTGAAGATTATTTGCCATGGCAATTTAGAAAGCAATCTGTGATAATTGTACTCCCTCTTGTGGTTGTTCAGTAGATTAAACAGGATTGTCTGTGAATGTAATGAGATTTCGGCCAGTTTACAAAATCCAGTAAATTAAGTGAGTATGTGTGTAACTAAGTAGGCAGGTAGGTAGGTAAATAAGTAGGTGTGTAGGTAGGTAGGTAAGTATGTAAATTGCCAACTCACAAAATCCAATAAATCAATAAATAAACAAACTGATTACTTACATAGGTTAACAGGCAGCCTGGATTAAAACAACCAAAACAATCATTCATACAAATATAACATGGGTTTTACAAATGCATCCATGAATACATTAACCCCTAAATTGTGTAGCTCCTCAACACTCTTGTATGAAACCTGTCTGAAATTAGTCCAGAAATTGGT